ATCAGGAGCTGAAATTTCTTCCCTCTTTTGGGTGTGAGGTGGTCCTTGGGACCCTGGTGGGGAATGTGTCTCCTGGCCCACCCTGGTTCTAGGACCATGACCACACGGGGCTAGGGAAGTGGGCTTTGGTGAAAAACGGGTACAACCTTTCTTCCTGCCTTTGAACTGTCAGCTTCCACAGGCAGAAGAAACCACCCCCAGAGCAGAATCACGGGCTTCCTTTTAGGCTCCAAGGGACACTTAACAAAGCCTCGGGGGTGGAGGGCTGTTTCTTTGATCTCTATCCTACCCATTCTTCTTAAAATCATATACCCAGGACCTCCCGCCAATTTCTGATCTTTTGTTCCGAGTCAATTCATGAACGTTCATAAATTGCTTTGAAGATGAAAGTACCACTTCAGTGCACCGCGATACCATTATTATTTTAACAAGTGGAGTCTGCACATGTCTCCTTGACATATAAGCTGTTCAAATATTGGTCTTGTTTTTCAGTTCAGCTGCGTGGGAAAAGAACTTGCATCATCTCTTGTGTATACTCCCACATCTACCGCTATGTGGAGTGAGCACTGTTTTCATAAAAATATTTGCCTTTTCTCCAACAAAAGAAATTGATGCTTCTCTTGGGGATACCTCTCCCTTAGCCAAAACTCCAGTAATTATTTTCAGAGATGTGTATTTTTTTTAAATGTCTAATTTATTGCAATGCTTACAAATGCCAATAAAATGTACTCTAATATTCACAAGGCCAACAAAGTTCAGTGCACGCTGAAAAAAGTTTGGTGCACACTGAGAAGAAATACATATACGAACATAATAATGGATTCATAAACGAACACAAGGATGGATTCCGCTTGGAATTGAGGAAGAGAATAAAGCATTTTGTTCTCTAGATCCACTCTAAATGGCTATTCTCTACCCAGGCTCCAAAGAGCCTTTTCAGAGAATTTCTCTGGAAGCATATCTGACTACGTCATGGCGCATTGCTTTGGCCACCTTTGCTAACTCCGCCGCAAGTCTCACCAACATCTAATGCTTCCATTTGCTCAGCCTCACTGGCAGATCACCTTTCAGGCACTAGAACTGACCTGTGTGCTGACAGCTGGGACCAGGCAGAGAAGGCTGTTGGAGGGGGTTGAAGAGAGGCCACTGGATGGGGCTTAGAAGCACAGAGTCATTACACAAACGCCCAACCTTGCAACTGGTACCTGGGAGCATCCCTCACGCCTGCCACAGGCTACAGGCTTCACCATCTGGTTTCCACTCCACGTCTGAGCATGACATTCTGTGGCCTGGTTTCTCCTCTCAGCCGTGATGGAGGGAGTACACGGTGTGGTCCATCCACCAAGCTTCAGGGACTTACGCTCCACGGAGGAAACGGGCCTGTCCTGTGAGAAGTCAGCGCCTTCCCAGCGGCCAGGGCTTCTCCTGTCCTGGGCTGAAATCCTAGGGGTTCTGGCTGGAATCATCTTCCTGATTCCTGCTTCTTTTAAAGGTTTCCTCAGAAGTCAGTCTGGCTTTCCACAGACCTGGCTCTCTGGGGTTAGCCAGGGGGCCTAACCTGTCTCTCTCAACTGCCCTTGAACCCCAGAAACCCCATTGACCACTAACCCCACCGCAGCCCCCCCCCTCGAGTCCCCAAGCCCCACTGCCTGCCCCCTCTCTGGGATCTGCCCACTGCCTTGTGGCATCTTTGATGTTGTTTGGTCGGTATTGTAATTAAACTTTCCACCAGTGCCTTGTTTTCTTGGGAAGGAGCAATCTGGTTAGATCCACCCCTTGGAACTCCTATCCCAGGATGTCTGCCCAGGACGGCCACCCACTCCAAGTCATCCAGTGCCCCACTGGGCTCGGTTTCTCTGCCATATGGCAGACCAGACACATCCTGGAAGAGTTTCCCACCCCTAGGAGGCAAGAATATGTTCCAGAACCCTCCCTCCCATACCCTGTCGGGGAGATCGGCTCTACTCATGGCAAAATAAACGAAAGCACTCAAAGGTCTTTATCTCTTGCAAGAGCAAGGAGTTCCTTCTGGCTGTCACAAGGGTGTCCCCCTCCTGCCTCGCCCCCCTCATGTGCAATGCGGGCAGAAAGCTAGAGCCCTTAATTCAGGACGTGGGCGCTTATGGAGCACTTGTGGGGCACTTGTTGCAGAAAGTATTACCCCAGACTTAGTGGCTTACCACACACGTATATGATCTCACGGTGTCTGTGGGTCAGGAGTCCCCGTGTGGCTTAGCTAGGTCCTCTGCTCAGGGCTGCACTCAGGTGTCTTCTGGAGCTGGGTTCTCATCGGAGGCTCAGCTGGGGAAGGAACCACTTCCAAGCTCCTGAGGGTTTTGGCAGGTTCGGTTCCTTGCGGGTGGTTGGACTGGGGGCCTCAGAGCCCGGCTGGCTGTCGCCTGCAGGCTGCCCTGTGTTCCCTGCCACGTGGGCTTCATTAAAGCCAGTGAGGGAGGGAGTCTTCTGGGAAGATGGAAGTTGCAAGCTTATGTAACAAAACTGACACCCCAAAACCCTTCCCATATTTCACAGGTTAGGAGTAAGTCACAGGTCCCAGCCACATTCAGGGAGGGGATTACGCAGTGTGTGGACACCAGGAAGTGGCGTAAGTGGAGGCCACCTTCGGGTCTATCTGCCGTACTGGGTACCAAAGGAAGGGACAGTTAGGAATACTGGCATCAGCAAGGTGTCTTTTAATGAAGGCACTGCAACACCCCTAACCATCTCATCAAAGATACTTTTCCAAAAATGTTTACCTCTTATATTTAATAATTATTTTAATCGAAGCTTATTACAATGTATTTGTTTTGATCACATGTAGATTAATGTTAAAATAACTAAATCCGGAAGAAATAATTTTTTAATTTCCACTTTTGTTCATATTTCTGTAACAAAGAAGTATAGTGGGCAATCAATGAAAGATTTTCTTCCTTTTTTTTTAATAAATTTATTTATTTATTTATTTTTGGCTGCATTGGGTCTTCGTTGCTGCACGCAGGCTTTCTCTAGTTGCGGCGAGCGGGGGCTACTCTTCGTTGCAATGCGTGGGCTTCTCAATGCAGTGGCTTCTCTTGTTGCGGAGCACGGGCTCTAGGCGCACGGGCTTCAGTAGTTGTGGCTCGCAGGCTCTAGGGCACAGCCTCAGTAGTTGTGGTGCACGGGCTTAGTTGCTCCGTGGCATGTGGGATCTCCCCGGACCAGGGCTCGAACCCGTGTCCCCTGTATCGGCAGGCGGATTTTTAACCACTGTGCCACCAGGGAATTCCCTGAAAGATTTTTCAATCATAAAAATATTTTCTCTTGGAATAAGATCCTGTATGGAAGAGGAATGGAAATACAATTTAAAGATAATAAATTTCCAACACCTAGAGAAGAGAATTTGGTATGTTTTTTAAATGCATGATAGTAGACATAAAATCACTATAGCTTTTCCCTTTCATTAGATATATTTTAAAGAGTGATGAACTGTGTTATTTTAAAATGCCGTCATTTGCATTCTGCTGGAAATTCTACTCTTTTTTTTTTTTTTTTTTTGCCGTACGTGGGCCTCTCACTGTTGTGGCCTCTCCCGTTGCGGAGCACAGGCTCCGGACGCACAGGCTCAGCAGCCATGGCTCATGGGCCCAGCCGCTCCGCGGCATGTGGGATCTTCCCGAACCGGGTCACGAACCCGCGTCCCCTGCGTCGGCAGGCGGACTCTCAACCACTGCGTCACCAGGGGAGCCCTCGCACCTTTTATGTGAACTTCAGTGGTACCGTCAAGGCCAAGGCAATTTAGTTTAGGTTAACCAGGATTTGTTTCAGTTGGTAAGAGAAACATCTTGCAACAGGTTTTTTCAATTCTCTTTAAAAATGGTGGCATTCCTTTACTTTTCGCCTTTTGGAAGCAGCAGTTGCATATATGGAATAGCAGATTAAGTCTAAAAATGTGGGCCCTACTCAACTTTATTTTTCTGCATATGATGATGATAAAGGATCACGACACCCTTCACATTTCCAAGGAAAACCCAATTGAAAGTGTGTCCTTGCCAAACTCCATAAAACAGCCACTTTAGAGTAAACCAGCAGAGCATTGCATCACCCCAGTAAAGCTGTAGGTTTCATCACATGCACCAACAAATCTACACGGCTAGTTTCTGCACTCCTCTTTTCCAGAATTTTACACCTATTGTACCAAAAGGCATTTTAAACACGGACATATCAACTCCCTAACAAAGCAAAAACAAAGGCATTTCCCTTATTAGAAACAAGATACCCCATCACTTAAGGTCTTCAAACATTATTGCACTTTCAGAACCTGACAATGCATTCAGTGAAACAGTCCGCAGACAACTAGTTTTAACAGACAGATTAGACACGGATGTCCTAAACTGTTTATTAGGTAAGGATTTTACAAGCGTTACTTGTGTTAGTGGTAGCGGTGGAGCTGGAGAGCACTGTGCCTTCTCCAGGCTGCGCGGCGAGAACCACCGGTTGTGCGGAGGACCCTGTGGCCTTCCCTGCCTGCAGGCGCCGCCCTGTGCTTGTGGACTGGCGTGGTGATCCACTGGGTGTCAGGGTTTCTTCTCTTAGCTTTATGGAGTGGATCAATGAGGACAACCTCCAAAGATCCGTACGTAGAATCTTCACCAACCCAGTAAGGCTTCAGGACCCTCCGGGCCCCAGAGCGGCGCCCAGCTAGCTCCTCGGCGGCAGAGGGGAGGCTTCGAGCGAACCTGAGCGGGTGGACGCCATGGTGGACAGGCGTGCCGTAGGTGACGCCATGGTGGACAGGCGTGCCGTAGGTGGCAGGCACACTTAGGGACCGGGCGTTTGCGGCCACTGCGCCACATGCTAGCCGATGCATGACAATGCCTTGCTTGGCCTCGCAGCCCAGCCGCGCCTTGTCGGGCCGGCGGGGCGCGGGGCGGCGCAGCGCCGAGAGCTGGGGTGCTGCCCGCGGCGTCCCCTGAGCAGAAGCGCATCGCGTCCGACGGCTGCTTCGGCCCCAGCCCCCGGGTGTACGCGCAGGTGCCCATCGCGGCTCACCGGACGGCCGCCGCCAGACGGCAAGGGAGCCCCCAGCTTTCTGATCTCCTTCTGCTGTTTGGGGTGCAGGCCGAGGTGGGCGCTGATAAATTCAACAACAACTGAATATAAATATATGTATATATTTACACATACACCCCACACCCCACTGAATATAACATACGCCCATTTATTAAAATATACATTTCTACGTTTATATTTAGAAATTATTTATATTATTTGTATTCTAATTTATTATGATTAAGTATATAATTATTATGTTTTATTACTATAATTTAATTTAGTATAAGTATGCTTTATTATGATTATAACGTTTTATTATTTATTGTTACAATTATAAATTTATAAATATATTAAAAATAATTATTATATTAAAGACAAGTGTTTGGCTGTCCCCTCTAGAAATATTTATTATAATCTTGATGACCCTGAAAGGAATCGTGACAGATTTTCTACAGTTACCTGGTTTTTCAGGAATATGGTGGGCTGCTGACACACAGCAGTGTGTGGTGTAATGTGAGGCCAGGGCTGGATGGCCTGCCCATGCCCTGCTTGTGTTTTAAATAAAGTGGACAAAGGTGTGTAAGAAAGGAATCTGGAGGCTCTGGTTTCTCCTTGGACACCACACCTCGTTCCCAGGATCCCAGTAAAGCAAAGAGACAAGGAGGCCCGAGGGACAGAGCCCAGGCCCTAGCCTGCCCGCTGCCCCTCCAGCTGCACCCTGTTTGTCACCTGCGAGCGGCCACAGCTGCTGGTCCAGGACTTGTCCATACGCACCAAGGGCAGGGGATGCAGCCTTGGTCTGGACTGAGCTCTGATCTGCTCCCAGCACACGGAGTCACAGCCCGATTAATACCCTGTTTACACCAAGGGCTATGGAAGGCACGTGTTTGTCCCTGCGTGGCAAACTGCAACTTCGGGGATCAGAAAATCCCAGCCAGTTCTAATCCATCCATATCTTACGTGCTCATCCTTTCACTATGCCGAGTGGTTGGCGGTCAAGTTCCTTTGTACTCATCACCTTTCAATATATTCATCTGCCGGTAGTCCTTGGTAAAGGATGGTGTCAGGCCCACGTTTCCAAGAGAAAGAAGGTAAAGAAAAGGAAATCACGTTATATACCAACCAAATGCTGGCAAAAATTTCAGTGTATGAACCTAAGAGGATAGAGGTCTCTTCTCCAGAAGACAAACCAACAAAATCCACAGAACATTGCTTTACTTATCTGTACAATGGGGAGATACTCCCTAACCCCTCAGGGATGAAATCTGTAACAATTTCATAGCTCGGGGATGAATTAGACAGAAATTTGGAAGGTGCAGAGAGTTTAGATGTTGTGTTAAGATGTAGTGAAATGGTACCATTAAAATCAATCTTGCACAGAGCTTTCAAAAATCTTGTGCTATGGTGACGCTATTTTGCCTTAAAAGTGGGTAATAGCTTCTCTCAAATTCTCAAATTCTTCTCCCACTCCCAACTACTCTAATGCCCCTCATCATTGCTCCATATCTGGGAGAATAATTCTGGGAGTTTATCCACCAAAAACATGTTTAAATTCCTTCTTTCCCTCCACTCAGCCTCCCACATGTGTGTAGCACTACCTCCTACCACAGTGAATCTAATTTTTGATTCTTTTGTCAACTAAAAACAAAACAAAACAAAATGCACAACCTAAAAGTTGAGAATTATGTTTTGTTTGGGGACCTTACTGAGAACTATAGCCCAGGAAAGCAGCCTCTCAGATCACTCCGAGGGACTGTTCCAAAGAGCTCAGGGAGGAATCAGGTTATATAGGAGTTTTTGCTGGGGGAAAAAATGTAGTTGAACATCAAAAGATCACTGCTAATCATAAAAAGGTAGACATCTTCAGTTAAGGATTTTAGTGCTTTTCTGTGTATGGGAAGATGCAAGAGTCTGGGCTCATTGAAGTCATTCCTTTGATAAGCATCTTAGCTCTCTAGGGCCAGTATCTTGTTTTTCTCCATCCTGAGTTCCCCTCAGGGCGTACCATCAGGGGGGCTGCCATGGCTGATGGCTTGATGGCCTGAACACCCTTTGTTTACTGAAATGGCAGGTGACATTCTTTGTACACACTTCCTAAAAGGGTCCTGGTCTCTGTAAAAATGGGGGAGAACATTGCTGGCCGCCACAACTGGCCAGGATTTCTGCATGTTACATGATGCCTCTCTTCCTGGCCTTTCTTTCATGGGGTTAAGGTGACCTTCTAGGCACTCTCTCCTTTCCCTGACAAAGTCACAGAGTCCCATGGACCTCCATTGGGCAAAGGCATGGACTGTATTTGGACTGAGTAGTTTTCATCTAGGGGGTATTGGCGGGGTTATAAGAGTTTGTCCCATTGTGTTACGGGCAGGTCCCAACCATGAGGAGAGTGGAACACCAAACCCCAAAAGGGATTTTGGTTTAGCTCAGCTGCTCTGATTAATTGGGAAGGTCTGGTGACCGAAATTTCACAAGAAAAGGAAACCATGTATCATGTTGAATGTATCGTCTTGGGCACAGTTATCTTAAACTGAACATAAACCTGGTACCTCTGCCAAGTTTTTCTGTACAACCACAACGTTTCATGGGAAGAAAACAAAAGTACATTTTTTGAGTAGGGCATAGACCTCATAGTATGGTTTCTAATAAAGGTCAAAGGTCTGGGAGAGATTTTGGTGAAATCAGCTGAAGTGCTTTGCTTGGCTTGAACCCAGAGCTAACTGAGGTTTCAGGTTTCATGAAGACATTTGCCCAGCAACAGGGTTTATGACATGTCATTTAGTATCTGGTCTTCATAGCCCGAGACCTCTTCACTATGGCTGTGGCTTGAAAATGCTCTAAAAACCACAAGAAACATTTTCCCAATGAATCATAAACCTTCTGGGAAGTCAGAGGGTTCAGTCAGATGTACCTCCATTCTTCCTGGGGCCACTGGGACGATTCAGATAACAGCGCGCGGAGACCACAGCCCACGTTTTTTCAGATCTAAAGATGAACTTGTTATTTGGATGGGATTGAGGCAGGGAGTGAATTTCTGTGAAGGTACATGAAGAGGGGGCTGATTGCCGCTAACACACCTAGGACGCATTTTCTAAGTGATTTTTCCTAAATTTGCTGATTCCATGTCCAAATCCTACTCAGTTAAGAAACGTCCAAATTCCTTTGCCCCACGGTGCCTGGATTCGTTCTACAAGTGCCGGAGGAAGCGTTCATTAGCCCAAGAGTACCTCTCAGACGGAGAATCTGAACAGCCAGGGGCGAAGAATCGTAACGCTGCGACTGGAAGGCCCATTCCTGAAGCCACGTTGTGGCCGGTGGAATTGTGTTCCTCACACCTCATCAAAGCCAGACCAACCCTAGCATCCATCCAGACACAGCCTGGTGTTCACAGAGCCTAACTGGGCTGGTTTCCTTCGGCTCAACCCAAGAAACCTAAACAGTAGTTCTGTACTTAGAATTTCCCATGCGGGAAAAGCTACCGTCTTCCAACTAGAGAGAAATCAGTGCACGGGAACCACGCTGGTGATAGTTCGGGGTAACAGCTGGACTCGTTCACCTTGCTGCTACGACAGAACGAACTATCAGGCGTGTTCAGAATATGAGCACAATTGGAGGACTAAGTATCCTTTCTCTTTTTTTAAATTTCTAAATTGTATTTTATTTATTTTTATTGAGGTCTAATTGACATATAACATTATGAGTTTCAGGTGTATCACATGTTTTGATATTTGTATGTATTGTGAAATCATCACCACAATAAATCTACTTAGCATCTCTCTTCACGTCGAGTTTACAAATCTTTTTTTTTTTCTTGTGTTGAGAGCTTTTAAGAACTACTGCCTTAGCAACTTCCAAATATACAAGACAGTATGATTAACCACAGTCATCGCGCCATATGTCGCATCCCCCTTTTGACCCCCCATCACCCATTTTGCTTCCCAGCACCCCACGTCCCTTGTCTCTGGCAACCACCAATTTGTTCTCTGTATCTGTGAGCTGTTTTCTGTTTATTATTATCATTATTATTATTATTATTATTTTTGAGTCCACATGTAAGTGAGACCATATGGTATTTGTCTTTCTCTGTCTGACTTATTTCACTTAGCAAAATGCCCTAAAGGGCCATCCGTGTGGCAAATGGCAAGATTTCCTTCTTTCCCGTGGCTGAATAAGATTTCATTGCATATATATACGCATTCATTTGTTCATTGATGGACCCTTAAGACCTTTCTTAAGCTCAGGCATTTTATGTTGCAGCTGTTGTTGATGGCAGAGCTGCGTGGCTTGTGGGATCTCAGTTCCCCGACCAGGGACTGAACCTGGGCCCTTGGCAATGAAAGTGCTGAGTCCTAAGCACGGGACCACCAGGGAATTCCCAAGCCGAGGCATTTTTGAAAATAGCTCTGTATGTAGCAAGAAACACTAAAAGAAAAGTGATTCTTCTCCATATGCCCAATAAGGTGGATTTTATTATAACTGTGCCTCCAGGTCGAGGCTGGGGCATTCAGATGAGCGCCTGGACAGCTAGGAAAGATTTCTTGCAAGAGATTTGAGGGGGAACTAACAATATGTAGGTCTTTCAGATAGACCATCAAACAAAAGGACGTACAATGTACAATAAGTATTAAAATAAGCCAAAGGGAAACTACAGAGAAAAAGGCTGGCAGGAGAAAGATAACACACTAAAGACATCACATGGCCCCGTACGTGTTTGTTAGGGCGATGCAGCAACTAACCATGCTCACTGCAAAGAGGAACCTGCAATGCGTTCCTAAGAAGCCAGAAGGAGGAGAGCTCAACAGCGCAGGAGAAGCATGATGATTTGAGAAACCCTGGGGGCTTTGAAGGGGAGAGCCGTCATCCCCATTTGCCTAGGACTAAGGGGCTTCCCACGATAAGAACTTTGGGCAACTTGGGCAAATATGTGAAAAATTCATATGGGTTAGACCCATCCCACCATGACAGGAAGCACTCTGGCTAACCCGAACCCTAACCTGAACCCTAACCCTAACCCTAGGCCTAACACAAACCTAACCCTACCCCTAGCCCTAATCCTACCCTAGCCCTAATCCTACCCTAGCCCTAACCCTAACCCTAACCCTTACCCTAACCCTAGCCCTAACCCTAACCCTAACCCGTACCCTAGCCCTAACCCTAACCCTAGCCCTAGCCCTAGCCCTAACCCTAATCCTACCCTAGCCCTAACCAGGACCACCTCTGGACCTCACGTTTATTCTCAGACCCACAGCCGCAGGTGAGGGCAGTTCCCACAGTCTCTGACCTTGGCATCCCGGCAAGCTGCTGGCCCGTGTTCGTGAAACACAGTCAAAACCAGAGGGGGCAGGAGCCCACAGGGACGGCAGAGGGACAGGAGGATGCTTTCCGGGGAACCTCAGCCGCGGCTGCAGCCTGACTTTGCTCAGGCTGAAGCTGCGTGAGGAAATGAGGGCAAACTGTCCATCAGGAACCTCGTGACACCAGGGCTCAGGTCACCTCCCTCAAACAGGCCCAGGGAAGCGTGCCGGCCCTCCAGGGCGGGGGTGACGGGACAACGGCTGGTGTCTCCTCTGCAGGGCAGGAGCCAGGCTTCTGTCAGGCCAGCCTGCCTTGCCTCCATCAGCCTTGGACTTTCCTGGTTCACTCACAGGGAAGTTCCTCAGACTCATGGCATCCGTGACAGCTGCGGGTGTGGGACCCCAGACTCAGTAAGGCGGCTTCATGGTAGCCTTTTACCTGGTGTTGTAGGTAACAGCGAGCTGCTCCCCATAGAAGACACTCACCTCTTTCACAACCTGTGCTCCGACATAGCTACCCTGTGCTGGAACATTCTGTCCTGTGCCAGCAGACTCCTTCAGCCCAGCATGGTGACTTTTGCTCAACAGAGGGACTTCTGCTGCCCTATTCTAGGAATACGACGTAACTCTACCCCCTCCTACAGCGTCACCCTCCTTGGAAGGTTGACGGTCACCAAGGCTTCTCAGGCAAACGAGTGTTGCCTCTGAGTTTGCCCCAGCTTTCATGGTGTTAGCACAGAAAGACGTTTCTATTT